CCCCCCAATAATCCTTAGCTAGGTGGAAATGCCACAGTAGCTGCCTTAGTGTAGATGAGTCTCTTTTACTTTCCCTGTACTGCCCATCTTTTCTTTTTTTTTTTTTTTCATGCTTGTAAGAAAAACTATGACCTTGTCCAGCATGGGACTGATTCTTTACAAACCTTCTCAGTATTCATTATATCCTTTGATGTGTTCTGCCGCTGAAATGATCTGAGTTCTCTGGCATCTTGTGCCATTGAATTTTAGATGTGGTTTAGTAGAGTTCCACTGCTCACCTTCCATTAGCATTATTCACTCACCTTCTGACACTTTTCTTGCCTCTGGAACGGGACTTGGACTCAGAGGGACTTTAACTTCAGCAGGTTTGTACACGTGGAGCTTCCATCCACAGAGTTCTCTGGCTAGAATTTATTTTTCATTATGTGTTCAGATCCTGCTGCCAGGAAATGTGAGCCATATTTGGTTTAGGGAAGGTCTTTCCTGAGGCTTAATCTGGTATTTCTAGAACCATGAACGTCATTGCAACAGACGATTCTCTGATATGCCATTCAGTATCTCTTTCTACCTGCAGTGCTTGAGAGAGCGCCAAAAAGTGAACACTAAATACATCAATCCAGATTTTGCATCCAAAAGGAAAAGCGCTCACTTTAGAGTTCTGCAGACCTGAAGAACGAGTGTTGATTATAGGCATTTAGCCAGTGAAGGTACACTGGAACTGAAGCAAGTTGGAATTTTGGCCTTTGTCCTTTCTTCTCCTTAGGCTTTTACACACAAGTGGTAATGAACTGCATCAATAGTTACTGGTCTATTACCAGGATTCGTTAACAGCATTTTTGACTCAGAACTGCTGAAAGATTCCTTAACCTATTAAAGAAACTTTTGACTCAAAAACCAGTACCGTGGGAGTAGAGTTTATTCATTTCAGTATACAATCATTAAACTAGTGCTTTTAAATTGGTTCTCAGTAGTTTTCTGGCATTTCAGTAATATTAAGTTAGCAGGTAGCTGGCTGAAAAACAAAATCTTAAATTACTAGTGGTTTTGCCATTTCTCTTCTAATGTTTGACTTCCAACATGTTTGCGATGAGAAAATAACAGACTAATTAATTATATATACTTATTAACTGAAATTTTTTTCAGCTGCTGTAAATCATAGCTACAAAAAGGTTACCAATCAATCCTCACATGGGAGACCCAATTAGAGAGTGCTCCTAAATTACAAAAAAACCCCTACTTAATTCATTTTTTTGATATACAAGAGAATATTAAAGTAAAATCTTTTGTCTACAATGAAATAAGCATTCTAGCGTTGATTTTGATTTGATCTGTAAATTTTCATTACCTTGAAAATTACTTAATCAGGTTAGGAAGTGAACGATTTCAGGAAAACCTGGACATTTGAAAGGAAACATAGTGATTTGGAATTGATTTTTAAATTGACCAGAGACTGAGCCTAAGAGTAGTCCTTTCAGCTTTCTATAACATGATCTTAAAATACTGTTCTGTAATTACAGGTCATGTATTTAAGGTCCCTTCCACCCCAAACCATTCCATGATTCTATGTTAAGGTATTTTCAGTAGTAGAAAGTAGTGTTGCTCTAGGGCACAGCATGATCATTTGGGGCAAACGTACACAACAGTGTATTTGGCAGCTACAGATGTCATTGATTTCCTATTAAAAGACCACGAATGAAATTGTGGATACATTGAAGATGACGGAAATAGTCCTGATGACGTTTAAGACAATTTCAAACCACGTATCCCAAGTTGCTTGATTTGTTTCAAAATTTTGTGTACGCAGATAATTGTTCCCTGTTACTCCTGTGCTTAAGTTGTATGATCTATATGTGATTTAAATGAGGATAACTATATGCCTTATATGACTAGACTAGAATAACTTTATCCAAGCAGTTTTATATTTAGGATTTACTTGGTTTGATTTCCCAACTGAATTTGCATTAAGTGTCTTGAAATACCTGGGCTTGTGAATAGTATTCCCTGTTGAGATAATAAAGCTTTAAATGTGTACTATATCATGAACTTTCATACGCCTTTCATAGTCTATTGTATGATTGTCAATAAATTCAGCGTGGCACAGGGCTCCACATGTTGCATTTTCATGTGTTACTGTCTAAAAGAAATCAATATCTATCTACATAGAAGAACAGGAAGAGATTCTTTAACAGTTTTATCTAAGAAATTAGTCTATCTTTTTGCAGTCCTTAAAAATTTCAATTACGGTGTACTGGGTTCCTTAATTAGTTAACTATGGGTTACAGCTTAGCAGGTAATACTGAACTGCATGATTCACCAAGTCACATGTGCAAAGATAACAGCTTAGTTAAATTAGGATTTCCATATTAAATAACTTGGTTAAAAATAATTTAAGCTTTTTTGCTGTCCATGCCCCCCCGTAGGGAAGCTGAAACACGACTCTTGGAAACATATACAAAATTTCAAACAGTATGCTGATTGAAGGGAAGAACAGGTAGGGAGAGAGGTTAGAGCTAGGTGAATAAAGAGTATTTAATATAGTTTGTACTATGTTACATGAATTTTATTGAAAATATGCAAAATACTTGCATTTCATATTTCCCATCATTTTCCTTCAGAGGTGTACTGAATTGTTAAAACAGATGGTCCTGTAGGTGTTTAATTATCTTTATCCTGGCTTTATTTTCAAAATGAAAAAGAAACCTGAATACTTCTTGCAGACTTATTGTAGTGGTTCCATCATTACACTATCTGAATTCTTGTTACCAAAACTAGTTGAATTTTTGTTCACATATGCATTTGTAATTCACACAATACTCTGAATATTTTGTATTCTTAGATGTGCTAATTTTGGAATTAGAGTATTCATTTTTTGTCGTCGTCATGAAACATGAAGTACAATAGTAACAAAAAATATGCTTGTTATTCAATAGAATCCAATATTATGAATATATGAATAATTTCTACAGTGAAATAGTATAGTTTGACAGAAGTTGCATGGTATATTGTACTTTGTTGCGAGACAGAAGCCTCCTATAAATGTGAGAAACTGGGTGTCTGTAGAGACAAGAGGATGACTTAAAGACCCAACCAAAGGAAGACTGCTTAAGCTGCTTTTGTGGGAGAAGACATTCGCTTGATGTCACTGGATCTCTCAAATACCATGAGTCCTGAGTAAAATTTTTGGTTTTTCTAAGGACTTGGCAACTCTAGAGGAGAAAGGCCATGTTAATGTTTCAGTCATCAGGAAAAGCTACAATTCAATGTTGGAGTCGGTCACATCAAAATCCAAATTTCATTTTTTCCTAATATTCCCAAAAAACCTGTTGTTACTGCCCAGTCTTTGCGTGATGGCTGTTGGTGTTGCTTTTTTTATGTAAGCATTCTCCTGACACTTGCCTTCTAGCTTACTAAATGACTGGGTGTTGTTGGAGAAGGAAGGCAGTGCAGTGTCATCAGTAGTATTCCAGCTTAATTTGTGATGCAAACCACTGAGATTATTAACAGGCACGTGAGAGTGAACGAGCTCCAGATTCTAGAGAAGCAGCTAAGGAAAGGGTCATGCTGGACCTTGGGTGTTGATGCTTGGGGTGTTGTTTCTGACTTGTGCTGTTTCAGCATCCTTTTAAACTGTGGGCTCATTTCGCTAGAGGAAAGGTTATTCCCTAGTAATGAGAGAAATCTCAGCTCTCCGTAAGTATGTTTCACTTCTGCATGAAGTTTTCCTAGAGAACGTGAATATTTAGCATGTAATTGGTAATATGCTCATGAAATAATTGAGTGGCAAACAAAAACAGAATCACAAAAACTACAGCTGTGTTAAATTATACTTAATGTCCTATACAAGCAGAAAGAATGAACTGTGTTTATTTTCCAAACAATAAAATTTCTAGTTTAGTTTTCAATGTAATTTTTTTTTTAAGAAAGTAAATTAAGTTTCATACTTTGGATAAAATTATGTTTTGCAATTCTGATGCTACAAAGCTAATTTACAAAGTTGAAAAACCGTGTTGAGTATGTAGAAATCAATTTTATAGTGATATTAAATGATTTTTTTCCTTTGGTCACTGGCTAGTAGAATATGCTGGAAACCATGGTAACAAAAAGTGCTGCCATGGTTGCCCCGGAGTCATGTTAAAATGAGCAAGCTGTGTTTGTCTTGATTAATATAATAAAAAGAGAGAAGAGGAGAGGGGAGAAGGGAAGAATAAGATTAATGGCCTGTACAACAGAAACAGCAAATATACAGTCAGAGATGTATCTCTGGATAAGCAATCCTGGAAATTCTGGTACCGTTGCATCACGGATGCAAAGGTGTTAAGCTGTGAAGCTTTAAAAAGAAGGTATATCTGTTCAATGGTTTGTTTTTAAATTATTTCCTCCCATGTCTGTATTTTGCAGGTTTATATTAGGATAAAGGATGATGAATGGAACGTTTATCGAAGATATGCGGAGTTCAGAAGTTTGCATCATAAATTACAGAATAAATACCAGCAAGTGAGGACTTTTAACTTTCCACCAAAAAAGGCCATTGGAAACAAGGTACTGAAAAGAACTCATAATATCAGTAAGAGTTGGGGAAAAAAACCTCTCCTAGCCACACATTAAAAAAAAAAAAAAAGCTGACTATCATAAATATTTTTTACACCTGCTAGACAGTACCTGCTATTTTTATGCAGACTTTGCCCTCATCAGCTGCAGATTCACAGGTAATGTAGTTAATGCATTGATTTTTCCACTCACTGAAAAGAAATCTGTTTTTATTAAGTGAAATATTGATGGCACACACAGTAGACAAATGCACAAAACCCAAAAAACTGGACTGGACAGCTGTAGATGTAAAACGTAAACTCCATGCCATTCTTTACAATAAATGCCAGCAACTATCACTGGTCAGTAATTCATTAAATATTTCTGTAAGGTTTAAAAAGTATCAGTCTAAACTTCTTAAATTTCCTGGGCTGTTCACCAATTGTTTTAAGTTCTTTGAACCAGCTTTTTTTAAAGACATGTGAGTGCTTAATTCCCATAATTTGCGTCTTTGTGGTTTAGCTCTCCCATTTTAAAATGGGAATTTCTGTGTTTTCCTATCATACAGGGATTTTGCAACAAATACAGTATATATTGTAGTATGTATGTAGTAAATACGTAGTATTGTGCAGTTTAATCCTTAATCACCAAAATTTTAAAATGTTCAAGAGCTTAAATACACATCACAATATACATCACAAACCCAGTAAGGATTGAGAAGTAATCAAAGCAATTTTTTTATTTTCTGACTTCAAATGATTTCCCACGTGTGCTGTAAAAATGGGTTAGGTAAGCTTGGCACATGTGATATGAAATGAGCAGTAATGCACACAATCTGGAACAAGTGGTGGTGATATAAATATATATGGAATTTATCGTTAAAATCTGTAGGTCTGTTTGCTTTGCATAAAGTGCGGAGTTGATGTAGTTGTTCATTGTCTGCTAACCTGGCAAACGAAAGTACTTAGGAGAGCTTTTCTGGGTTTTTTTATATATTAGAAGATCACTCTTCATTTCATTTCTAGTGGATAGTTTTGTAATAGAAACAATCTATTTTCTTCTTTGTTATATAACGAATTCTCCTTTTTTGAAGTGATGGAGTATCAGCCACTTGAATAAATTACAAAAGCCTTCTTTTAAGCTTTTTTTGATAGTCTCTCATCTTTAATTACTTTAAATACTAATTGAATTACAGCTTGAGTTCCACAATTGATGCATACAAAATTATCAGTTGAGCAACTCATTAAAAAATTTGCATCGCTTATTCTTTTAGTGCTTTAGCTTTTGGCCAAAATTCTACCTTAATCATGCATAACCCACAATTACTTTGTCGTATCAGATCTCAGCAGAAGTCTTTTCTTTCCAGTCAGAAATGGGTGCCACCCGTTGTACTCCTGAAAGACTCCTATGACGAGACGTAAGCTGGTTGTATAATGGGAATTGATTAGTGGCTATACTTCTGGCTACCAGCTTAAATAGCTTGCAGGTCGCAGAGCAGCACTTTCCTGTCGGCTTTGCGAGAGCTTACCTCAGTTTATCACGAGAGCTGCTTCCCACAGCACGTGGTGTAGGCAAATCTCGTCCTTTTCTGTTTTCTGTTCCATGTCACGGTACGCGTTGATTTAGGAATATTGCCTGGTTTTGTGCAGTGTGGTGGATCACGCTTCCGGAACAATTACCCTATAGATCCAGCAGAAATTGTAGCCGCTCGGAACACCTTGCACTGCGAGACTGACAGATGGGCTAATGGCCGGGAGATGGCCCTCCTTTCCTTGACAGGGCAAGCTGAAGTAATTGGAAGGTTTAAAAGCTCAGTGTAAAATTAAGTAATTCGTGTGTCTGAGAAGGTCTGTCTTGGAATTCTGTAGAACTTTTGTATAGGATGAGGGATTTGCGCAGGATGTTACACACATTTGGAAATAAGCATTAGAAGAGAGATTGTCGATACTACTCTTTTTGTTGCTGCTTTTTTAACTTCAGTGGCTACCAAAGCGTGTTCCCTTTTAGATGTGCTCTTAGATTCCAATAGAAATTTTTTCTCTCTGCTATTATTTATGCTGTTTTTAATAGAATTGCAGCTGTCTTCCCATTTCTAGATTAATCAATACAATCGGAAATCAGTGCCTAAAGAACAGATTCAGTAGCTAAATTCTGCTAACAGAAGTATGTGTTCCGTTCATGTCAATCTATGGTTTTCATATTCTGCACAAATCCTCAGTGCTATTAGATGCCCAGATAACAGATTGGTAAAACACAGTCCTCCATGTGGAAAGGGCTAAAAAAGACTGTTTTACAGCTTTCGGAGGATGGTGGTGCGTGCTTTATACCCTTGAGGTCTGTACCCGAATGCTGGTACTCGTTGGGTGTTTTCAGTGCTCGGTACTGGCAGGCTGGCGAAGGGGATGCGCTCGGTCTAAGCGTTAGTGGCATTGAAGGAGGGCTTTGCTGCACCTGATACCTGCCTTGATGCAAGCACTAAATTCGGTGTTCAGTTCTGTGTCTCTGATTGAGGGAACCTCCCAGGCCACGAGAGGACACCATGTTCTAGAGAATGACCTGGAACCACTGCTGCCAAGACACAGAATGCTCTCCGCTCTTTTGCTGTGCACAGCGTTGGAGCTCTGAGCGGGGGAACTTGACTAGAGCACAGTAATGTAGCAAAAACTCCAGAGAACTATTCGTCTTCCTGCATAATTTTCCTGTTTACTGCAATAGCAATTGGGGAGATCAGATTCAAATGCAAAGTTGCAGAGTTTGACACAAGGAAAATGGAAAAAAAAAAAAAAAAAGGCAGAATTTCAACTGTATGAGGATTTTAAAAAGTGAGAAAATCAAGTATTTTTTATTGCATATATATTGTCATCAAGTAGCAGTGCAATCTGAAAATATTTAGTAATCTGAAAATAGATTAAGAATCTAATATTTGTATTAATTCTTACTATGTTTTTAATGTATTTTTGCCTTCCACTTTGCTTTAAGTTGGGACAATTTATCTTAACAGTTCATGTTAATGATCTTTAAACAAATGATGTATGTAGGATTAGAAACTAGCTTTAATGCTTGAGGAAACATAAATTTAATATACAGAAAGCAAATTAGTAGAAAATGAACAGAGAGGAAGAAGGAATACTGCTTTGGACAAGTAACCTTTTTTCAATTACAAAAAAGGATGTGTATTTGCTTTTCAGGTTGGTACCATTATTTTCAGTGAATCAGTTGTAACATTTGAATATAGTAACTTAGAACTAATGTAAAGCAACAAAAAGAATAATTTGATTTATAAATGTTGCTTTGAACGAAGTCAGAACAGATAATTTAATTACTGCAGGAAAATATAACAGTAATGCTTGCCAGGCTCCATGTATTAAGTTTCATCTATACTAGTTCCCATGCTGTATGTTTTCTGCTAATGATCTTTCAGTGCTGGTAGCAAATACTTGTCAAAATCCTTATAGGTAGTGCTTGAAAAGAGTAAGTGTTCTCCCTTCAGTGTATCTGTGTCTTGTTGGAGTGAAAACAAGAAACGTATTTCTTCTGTTGTGTTTATAAGAGAATGTCATATACTCGTTGGATATTTTTGTACTTCTTTTTTAAACTACATATAATTTTATTTAAAACTTACAAATTTGAGCTGTGTTTTTAACACTTGAACTGTTTGGTTTTGTAATTTTAAACCATGCTCCCCATGTATCAGCCTGGTTTGTGGTTTGCTAAGTACTTTATATGTAGGTATACGTACCAAGACTTGTAATTTCAAATTGTGGTTTTCTTGCATGAAATAGATGTTTGCCTTTTAGCTAGCCTTCAGGTACTTCGGGTCTTTTGAATTCATACTTCCATTACCACAGTTTAAGTCTTTGTGACTTCTGCCTTCCTGCCATCAAAAGGACTGGTTTGGTTCCGTGAGGTCTAGAGTGTGCTGAGTTACGGGAAGCTCATGAAGAGAAGCTTCATGCGACGGTAGTACTTGATTGCAAAGGGATCCCTGTATGCTTTTGCACAGAAATGCAGCTTAATTTTTTTCGTTTAAGATGAGCCCTTCCATTAGCTTCTGAATCTTTGTTGGTGCTATGTTGGCGTCTCACTTCTTGAAATGCTGCCTTCAGACTAATGGTTAAGTAATAATACGTGAGTATTTACTGGACCTATTGTTCTAATTTTGTGAATATTGCAACGTCCGTAAAATCTTGGTTGCTACTTCTGCACTGGGCAGATTATAACACTTAAAGAATGGATGTTAGTAACTGAGTAAACATCTAATTAAAGTGTCCTCTTGCAAGGGTATTGTCCCAGTAGAGGACGTATCAAAATAGAAATGGTTCTTTGCTTCCACTGAAGATGTGAATTCCGTGATTGTCTAAGTGTGTAGAAATTGAATAAGGGAGCTTTCCACTGAGTGCTGACTTGGCTGCACGATATCCTTTGCTTTCCTTTAAAACATCGGAAACCCAATATGGAAAGAATACACAGGACTTTTCTGGGATTAGAAGAGAGTGACTTTGCCATGACTCCTCAGCTGCATAGGAGGAACAATACAGAAATCTAAAATAAGTTTTCTGTCTAGAAGATGTTGACAGCAACATCATTCATCATTTTTAGCCCGTGCAACTGAAGTCTGTGAGCTGTTCCTCTAGCCATAGCTTGTTTTGTGCCCAAATGGTAGTTCAATAAAGTAAAAGTGTCCCCCTCACCTATCAGTGACTAAGCTAAATCGGAGATTATTTTGTGTATGTAATTATTTTAAAAGTTTGTAAATATGATGTGTATGTATCATAAAAGATATCTATTTGTATATATGTACATACACATGTGTACGCATATGACATCACCAAAGACAGTGTTTAGGATATATATGAAGTTGGCTTCTGGAATGTGTCTGTAATTCTGCAAGTTGTGTTCACCAGGGATGTTTCTGTCAGTGGACATCCTGCCTTTGCACTAACAGTGCGGCTGGCTTCCATTTATTTTTTTCCCTGCCAGCACAGCTGCTTTTTGTATCAGTGTCTGGTCGG